GCCGCAGAGCCCAGCTCAACTTTAAGCATGTGCACAAGTAATTTCTCAATGTCAGCCAGACTCAACATTTACATTGTTCTTGTCATACTATATTCGAAGAGAAAACTCGAAGAATATTGAAGTAACCATGTTTATAAATGATCAAGAGAGATATACACCTAGGCGAGGGGAAACGTGACCCTCAGAGAAGTAGGCTAACTAACATACTGCTTCTCAAGAAGGCTTCCACAAAATGCCAAGTCGAACCGTTCCTCTGGAGGATCTCCTATGCAATCAAAAACTGCATCCGCATTTAAGAAATCCTCGTCGGCTGTGTACCTGAAGCACAGGAATAAGCCAATGATAATAAGCCTCTGATGTTCGTGATTTGGTTAGTGATCTTGGATTCTGTGTAGGCCTAAATCATATCGTTCACTTATTCTCTCAACCACTAAATTTGGGCGTATTTTGAGTTCAAAGTATCTTGAGCATTAATGTAAGTATCAACTTGCTATAATAGTATATAAATTAGAGGGACTTTTTTTTTTTCTGTTCGCAAGAGAGGTGCGAGGAAAAACCTTGTATGCTTCTCCATCGTCCCAATGGAAACTAGCTGTGAACGTAGTTGAGGGTGAATCCCTATAAACCTGTGTGTGCATTGCTCGTATTTTGATTCCTCTTTTTCAACGTTAAAAAGAGAACAACTTACCCACTCTTTGTTACTATACACTTCATCCCAGCAGCTTTGGCAGCCGCAAGACCAATTGCACTGTCCTCCACAACAACACAACTGAAAGAATAGAGATAAACACCTTTTATGCTGATTAATATTTTGAAATGATTGAGAAAATTTCGTGTTTGTGATACCTTCGTCTGACTAGAATGATAATAAAGTATAATCTTCTTTCACAGTTCAACTAATAAGCATGCCCCTCGTCACAATAAATTGACATTGTAGAACATAAATGTAAAAGTTTGTATATATAGAAAGCAGTACCTTGAAGGTTCGACATCCAATGTGTCGGCAGCTAACAGATAAATCGCCTGCACAGAATACATATAAAGGGAAAACTCACATTAAAGAACATCTGTTAATAATATTACTCGACAGCCTCATAGAAAAGGAACAGTACATTCTATGATTGACAAGTGAAAAAAAAGAACTGTCTGTTTTGCCTATTGAAGGACTAGATAAAATCTTCACAACTGCTAATATACTTAAATGGACTTCGAAAGCATCGACCACATAACAAAGTTAACCTTCTGAAGCTACAATGTAAAAAAATTGTTGAAGCCACAGTTCAAATGAATAGAAGTAATAGTGCTTAAGCTTTGAATAATTTTAGATAAGGTGGTTTAACAGTGTACCAAACACGCAAAAGACATGAGTTCGAGTCTTGCCGCCACACATTTATAAAAATTGTATACGTTGCAAGCCTTTAATGAAAAAATGAATGCGGTCTGCACGTGAGTCAGCACTTTGAGACACAATTTAAATAAATAACTGCGTCTCCTCTCCAATAGGTTAAGCTTTTAGATGAGTTGGTTCAACAGAGATAATATAAAATGAGAAAAATTGTGCACACAAGCATGCTTATCAACACTAAGTCGCAGGAATTAGAAGCTTACTGGATCAGGCTTCTTACGAGGAACCACATCTCCTGCATATATTTGGATTTTTTCCGCTCGTTGAGGCCCCAATAAGAACGAAACTATGGCAGAAACCTGAAATTTACTGGAAAATCTCAATCTGTATAACATGTTCAAAAAGTATTTTGAGCTGGACTTTGTTAGACGCTATAGTAACGACACTGTTAATTTTGAGTCAATAGAAGTTCAAGCAAACCTAATATAACAACATCAGCTGATACAAGATCACTTCAATGGGACCAAATAAAATTCATTATCTTCAATTTCCAATAGCTACATATGCTATTATCCAAATTTAACAAATACATATTTCGTTCATAACTTTACTGGATTACCATAAAAAACAGTACAAAATATAACATGACATTTAACTTAAGATCAATGATACATACCGCCTTCTCATTTGAAGTGCTGCACACAGCAACTTTCACGCCTTTTTCCAAAGCTTGGTCTATTAGCCTGTCAAATTTAGTTCAATAATCATGATAATCTTGTATAAAATTTTCAAAAGAAATAAGGATTCCGATTTTGAGTTTGTGAGAATATTTGTAGTAACAGAAGAATTTCTCAGACCAAGACTACCAGAAAGGTCATAACTACAGAACGATTGTACAAGGCTCTTCAAAACTAAAAGTATGGGATTACTGAAAGAGAACTTCAACCTATACATTACATGCTACCGTCACAAATTTTGGGAAATACAAAAGGCCAAATTTTTACGAGTTTTGTGAAATTCCAAGTAATCACTATTTTTCTGAGACCAACCTCTAAGAGCAAAAATTGCAAGGATCCTAGTTCCTGGCAGTCATTATTAAAGTACATTAGGGAGGAATGCCATTTTTTAGCAATATTGACAATGAAAAGAAGAAAACATATGACCGGATGAATTTCAAGTATGTGTAGTCCCACTCTGATGTTCAGAAGTATAATATAGATAAATGAAGCATCTTTTCATATTATATGCACTTTAGGGTGGCAATGTTTCAAGATCGGAAAGCACCTTAATGAAAGCATTGGGGGACTAAATTGTTTTATTACTTATCATTACATAAAAGGGTAGTAATTTTTTTCTCGAGGATGTCAGTTTTACTTGGAAGGGAAAAAAAATCAAGTCATAACTTACTTGGCAACACCAGGTCGAAGAGGCAGTAACTTTTTCTCAATAAGGACCATGAACAATTCCGTCTTTCGCTTGTGAAGTGATGCTATAAATTCTTTTCTTTCTTCCTCACTCTTTGGTGCCTTTTCTGGCCAACCTACCTTGTTAAAGTAGGCAGTCATCCTGGAATACCCATATCAACCGTATGAGTAAAAAAAAATTAGTCCTAGAAGCTTCATTAGCTAACATATGCTAGATTTCATATTTTGAATCTTGAAAATGAATTGACATTCGAATTAAAGAAGTTTTCGACTATATTCAATCCTAAATTTACCCTCTGTGACGCTGATCTAAATTAACCTAATCGTGGAATTTCTTAAGCAGGGAAACTGAGAAATTCAAAGCAACTACATACAAGTTACTAAGAATTATACAATATCCCAAGAAAAGTGAATTTACCTTTCCTTTCCTCCCCCAATTTTGAGCAATTCACCATATAAATCAACATCCCAAGTCACACCCAACTCTCTCTGCACAACCAAAACAAAGAAAAAAAATCACTAAACCATGAGGCAACCACTGTTAATTCATACTTCCATTGAAGCTGTCATTTACTTGGAGCTTCCTTGAGGGCTTTTTCTAAAAAAGAATTAGCCCTCCTGGAAAGTGACGAATGTGAATTTCACACATATCTCGTGCCCAATATTGATTAATTGTTAGTATCTGTTGAGCCAATAATCGCTAAGTTGTGGGTATTTTTCTTGTTTAGGAAAACTCCGAGCTTCATAAACAACGACCAAAGTGACGAAAAGAGAAACTTTACAATAGCTTTTGATCAACTTGAGGTGGAAATGATTGGCAAAAGACAACCAAGGGACAAATCAAAAAATTGAGGAATAGAAAGCTTCATCTCAGATTTTTTTTTTTTTTGTAAAATCACCCAAAGAATTTAAATATGAAATCCCAATTTAGCAAACACCAGAATAGTCCACAGCTATAAAATGAGCAATATATATTTCCCCAGACATACCAAATCATTCCCAAATAACTCAATGACACATCAAATATAGAACTAACCATTTCAAATTGACCTTAAGAAAGAACAATATTCAAGATTTATAATCAGATCCCAAATACTGTCCTGAATACTCAACCTACAAGGCAACTCCTTAAACAAACAGTTCTATCAGTCTAATGCTCAAACGAGAAGTCACAAAAATAGAAAGTTTAGAGAGTGTACTTCAGCAAAGGTGTCATTAAAAGAAATGCGATGTCCATCTTTCTCAGTGTCAACAAGCACACCATCACAATCAAACAAAAGGGCTTTTGGAAGAACTGATGATGAAGCCATACATTTCACCAGTAGCCCACTGCCACTAGCATTCTTCTTGCTTGTTAATTTTTGGTTCTTGATTATGCAGGTCAATCTTGAACATCCCACTATAGAACTTGTTGATGATAAAATAATAGAATTTCTTGAAAGGAGAGTAGAATCTCTCTTCGAAGAAGAAGAGGAAATTGTGAAGGGAAGAGGGATTACTGCTGCTGCAGCCATTGTTGTACTCTCTCTCTCTCTCTGAGTTTTCTCTCGCTAACTTGTGATTTGGTGGGAGTTTAACTGACGACAGTGTGTTTGGGTCCCACAGTTATCCTCCCATTAAGGTTGAGAACCACAACCCAAATAACGGGCTAATTTGTATCTGGGTGGTCTCTTCAAAGAGGGATGACAAAAAATTTAGAATCATCCTACATGTGCAGCATTGATTTACAACATTAATTGACAACATATTATTTGACATCATCATATTCATCCATTTTAAAAAACTGTTTTTTACATCACATGCTAGGATTTTGACAACACATGATTGTCAATCGTTATTGTCAACCAATGTTGTACACTTAGATTTATTCAAAAAATTAGATAAACTCGATATTCGTGAGGTCCTGTCCAGAACGGGACGGGAATAACTCATTCAATCGGTTATTCGGGACGGAGAATTTTGCCTAGGGCGGGGACGGGTAACGGGAGCTCCGCCCCGTTAAATTTTTTTTTTTTAAATTCAATAATTTAAATGAAAAATTTCACAAAATTTCATTAATTCTAATAGCAAATAGCAACTAAAATTGTTTATCTAAATCTAATGAATACGGTCAATAAAAAAAATTATTAAAAATAAAAAAAAATTAAACAGGCAGTAAATGGTGCAAGGACCCTGCCCCCCTTAAATGGGTTACGGGACAGAAAAGGAGAATTTCTTAGCTGGATGGGGCGCCCGTTGCCATCCATATCTCCAAAGTGTTTCAATTTTGATCACAGGCATTTTGTAAATTTGAGCAGTGGATATTTGGGTAATATCTATGAGTGTCTCGAAATATGCAGAGAAGCAAATATATTTAGGGTCTATTTAGCATAATTTTCGGGAAGCAAAAATGAGATTTCGAGATTGAAAAATCATTTTATGAAAGTGTTTCTCTTAGTTAAAAGAGTTTTTAGATGAAACTGATATAATGTAACTTCTTTTAAAATTATTTTCGAAATAAAAAACAATTTTAAAAATTAGTTTTTAAAAAATCTCTAAAAGGCAAAAATAAAATCAAAAGTCATGTTAAATGAATCCTTATTGTAATGTCAAATGTGCGTACGAGATGAGAAGATGGTTTTTGTGTACTATGTGTGGATTCTTGTATAAAACAAATCTGTAGAAACTTTTTTTTTAACTATATAATTTTTTTGTAGAGAAAATAGAGTTTTTTTTTTCATGAGCAATGCTACATGTACATAATTTTTTTACCTACACTCACAATAGGGTGTGGGGACCACATTTTTGGAAATTTTTCATTCACGCGGGCCCGTGCACATGTGAAAAGGTGTAACATTTTCGGTAAAGAAAATTATGTACAAATAGTTTTATCCTTTTTTCATAGACCCACAGCTCCACATGTACAAACAAACTCGCGGTGTGGTAATAAAAATGTAATTTCGGTTCTTACAATTTTCTCATTAAAAATAGTTAAATAAATTAAAATACTCATGATTGAAAATACAGTGTGTAGCATTGTAATATCAATACATTATACTCCAAAATTTTAATTACTATTTTATTTTCATTTTCATCCATCTATAAATTAACATTCAGTCGGGTATTTTCAGTGTATCATTTACATTATTTTTTTCATTTTGATTTTATTTTACGCAAAATTATATATTTTATTAATTATATTTGTATATTCTCTTTTTTTATATAACCGCACTGGAGTCTGCATGCTACAATTATTTCTTTTTGACAATTGTTTTAATCTATTACTTATGCTTTCTGGATGTAATCTTCTTTATATTAAACTTCTTTATGTTCATTTAAAGTATAAATTATTGTTGTTGTTGAATTTTTTTACCTTTAAATTAATAATATATTACGTTGTTGTTCCCCAAAAAGCGTAACTCTTCAAATATTAATATTCTTCTTAAAAAATATGCTTCCGAAAAGTTAATATTTCTAAATAATAGTTCGTTCTTGCTCCTGAAATAACATATTATTAATATTCTAGGAGAATATTACTTAGTTACTCTGGAAAAGCGTACTATTGCAATTTCAATATTTTAGAAAAATATTGGCATATTACTCTAAAAGTAGAACATATCTCAAATAAAATTATACAATCTAATTTTTTGAAGAGATATAACAATTAGTACACTAATATTGTTGGCATGTACAATTAGACCGTTACTAAATCAATAATGATGCAAAAAAATTGAGAATTTCAATGAACATTCAATGAAGAACCACAAGATTTTTCAGTATAATAATTCCTATATGATATTTGTTCTCTTTCTTGAAAATTGGTAATTAACAATCACTAGCTAAAATATGGACTAATTCCCATATTTCCGATAGGGAGACATATAGGGTTCTGTCTCCCTCCATGTTGACTATCTAAATATTATTTACATCTAATAGATGATACATATACTAAATGATTGCATGATGTTTGCAACCTGAAGTTTGTGAAATTACTGTTCAAATTTTAAATTATGAGCATAATTTTCAAATTATACAAGCAAGACGATTTGTCTTGTTAATATTGGTAAACCTAAATTTCAATATTTTAATAAGTGTTAGTTGAAATATTGATAAATGATAATAACACCATTGCTTGTTAAACTTATCCAATCAATTTCTTAATTTTTACTATTGGGAACAGAGTACTTCTCATTTCTATTTAGAGAATGTTATTACGCATTATGCCAATATCAAGTTCTCTCTATTAAAATTGGCTTATGGTTAGAGCCTAAGACTTTCCATCAAATGATTTTTGAAAGTGCATTATATGTATAATTTCTCAATTGCGGTGCATTGAGATGGATATTAAAGAATGTTAAGAATACAAATTCAGTTTGAACCCTTATAGAATATTTTAATCTCTAATGGTGATATTTTATTCCTCGATTCGTTGACTTTCAATTTAATTGGACTATTTTCTCAGCATTAGAGGAGAGAAATTGCTAGCTGAATATCATACATAATGTATCAAATTGTGTTATTTATATCCTCGTCCTTAACAATATGAAAGATAACTCAACTGTGAAATACTTTTAATGGCCTATAAGAGATTTATAAAATCTCATATATCAACTATAGATGCTCCATCTCGTATTACAGTCTCAAAATGACAAATTACTAACATTATATAAATGTTGAATTGTTGTGACATTCAATTCTAAAAGAAAAACTCTTGGAAAAATGAGCAAATAAGAAATATGGTCCCAATTAGGAGGTGTATATTCTTAGAGAGTATATAGATATAACTAATTATAAAACCCCATAAGATGTTTAAGTACTTAAAACAATGAAAGCGAAGATATCTCAATAAGTTCTGTGATTATGAAAAAGAAAGAATCGAAAAGACACGTTTATACATGATGTATTGTATCATATTCTTAATAGTGAGAAATCGAAATAAATTCGTCAAAGCATATAGATCGAAGAAATGATTAACAAAATAAAAGGACATAATTCTAGTAAAAGTGAACTTATTTGAGTAACTCAAAGTCTTCCCTACATGTAGTCTGAAAATCTAAAGGCGTATACTTGTGCGAAAAGGAAATGAGAAAAATGAATTTGTAATATGTAATGCACGAATCCCAATATAGTGAATTTTCCAAAGGCCATGGTGAATGCAATCACAAGTCTATATCTTATTATTACGACAATGTATGAAATTTGAATTGTAGTTATAGTCAACTCATCTGACATGACTATTAATGTAATCCCTGAAAGATTTAGCCCATGTTTGGTATAAATTAAAATCAGCTTTTTAGTGAAATTTGATAAAAGTTGATGAAATGTGTGGTTGAAAAGTTGTAGACCTCATGAAATGTGTGGTTAAAATTAATTATTGACTTTAAATTAATATTAAAATAAGAATTTAATCCAAACCAAACATGGGATTAATATACATGAAGCATATAAATCAAGTGATAATATTGTGAGGGAAATAAATATATATTGTACTCTTTTTTTCTTAACCAATATTTTGTCCCATTGAATTTTTCTAGCAAAGTTTTTAATGAGACAATTTTTGTAGCATACTCAAAAGAATAATTTTTTTTTTCCAATGAATTTTTCCTAATAAAGCTTTAATGAGAAACTGTCCATAACTTACAAGACATTTACCCTCAAAATAACACTCTTTTATATTACAAATTGTGTACGATTTTTGAAAAGAGCAAAACACAGTCTATTTTTCAATAGATCACCATGTGACTAAAGACAAACAAAGATTGACAAATATCATCTATGAAGATATTGCTTGAAGACTATAACAAGACAATAAAAAATAAAATTCACCAAAATTAGAGTATTGAACACATTAGCGTACAAGATATGGATAACTTGACAAAAAAAATTTCATTTATTAAAATCAGGAAAGCAACTGCACTCTATTTCTTTAGCTCAATCAAGTTTTGTTCCAATGAATTTTCTTGACAAGATTTTAACGAGACATACACTTTATAATGTATCATTCAAGGAAGAGCGTTGTAAATTATATATTTATTAGTGAATGACATTTATATCTCCTACAATCCGAGTTATTATTATTATTGTATCCATAACATTTCTCTACAAATATAGAATTTTGGTTCTCAAAGAAATACACTTGAGTCTTTTGGCCTCTATGTTCTTCTCTCTTTTTAAATTTTTTTTTTCTAGTTTATAATAGATTTTTAGTATATTTTGATAAAAAAAAATGATGAAATTTTGTGAATCTCATAAAATATGTGACTAAAAATGAATTTTAATAAAATAAATTTCAAAAAATTGGGGCCACATAGGGACTTCATGAGTAGGGATGGTAAAATAATTCATCATATCCGGTACTAGCTTATCCCGCTCCGAACGGAATGGAAATTACTCGCTTAATCGGGTATTCGAGTTGGGGATAGGGCGGGTACGGGTAACAAAGGCTCCGCTCCGTTTAATTTTTAATTTTTTTTTAGAATTCAATACATTAAAAGGAAAATTTCATGAAATTTCATTAGGTTTAATAGAAAATGACAAATAAAATTATATAAGGAATATTACAAACAATAAAAGTCTTAGTTTACAAAATATATTTGAATAATTTAACTTTTAAAAATAAATAAATTTTAATTTAAAAAATTAATAAATATATTATTGTTTCGCTTTAATGAACATGGACAATAAAATAAATTAAAAAATAAAATAAACGGGCAATGGCCATATCCCGCTCTCCTTAAACGGGTAACAGGTTGGGGGAAGGTGAGGTTGCCCCAACCTCAACCCTCCCCGTTGCCATCCTCATTCATAAGTTTTTCGATCTCATTTTCTTTTTCAATCTCCATAACAATTTCGATCAATATAAATCACGATACTTCAACCTTTAAGCTAATCAAATAATTAAATTCCGAGTTGAATCACAAACAACAGATTCTATTTTATTTTTAAGCAAAATTTTTATAGATAGTTTGACAGATTATTTCATTGACGGTTGAACAAAAAATAATTTCAAACTAACCAATACAATTTCGCCACCTCATCATAGGTAAAACGCTAAAGCAAATGTACAGGAGTTTTGCTTGGGTGTACAGTTCAATAGAGCCGCCACTTACCCCACCTCCCTCATGTGAGTGTCTGTGGGGTTCTGTTGAATCCCCATCTATACACCAAGAAAACCCATTTTACAAGCATCTTATTAGCCGTTTTGGCCCCATTATTTCACGTGTTACAACGAGAGAAAAAGTAATTTTTTGATGAATATGTTGTTAAAAATGAAGGAAGTTTTTGAATTTACGTTTAATATTATTTTATTTGTGTGTTTGATGAATATTATTGAGAAAAGAATTTATTTTAAAAAGTGATACGATGATAAATATGTGATTAAAAAGTAAGAAAAAGTCACTGATTTGATAAAAAATGTTATTTTATTGAATAATGTTGGGTTCAAAATGAGTTTTAGAAAAAATTATTTTGAAATAACTTAGGTCGGTAGCTTAAAAATTATGTGGTTGATAAATAGGCGTACAGTCGGACGATAATGCCTTCATTCATACAGCTCCGCCACCCTCCGCCGCTAACCTCCGCCACAGCAAAAAGAAGAATCTATTTTAATCTTTACGAAGGAATACAGTTTTCTTTTTGAGAAGGAAAAAAGAATTTATCTCGGTTTAAACCGAGACTGAAATGTGGAGGAGCCACCATGGGTTCAGCGTCATCAATTGAAAAACCCCAAAAGGGAAACCCAGGATCGACTCCGATTGATCCGATCAGTGATCAGAGTGGTGTAAAGGAGGTTTCTGATTCCGAAATTGCCCCTGGGGAGAAGAGTGATTTACCAAAGGGTATTGAAGAAGAGGTGAAGGAGAAGGCTGTTGAAGAGGAAGAGGTGAAACTGAGGGATACCATTGAGAGAGATATTCATCAACTGACTTTGGTGCACGCAGAAATTGAGGCGCCCCGGGAGAAGGGTCCTGGGCTTAATGATGATTTTAAGGAAGGGAATGAGATAAAAACCGTGAAAAATGAGGCGGCCCGGAAGGAAGGTCATGGGCTTATTGGTGATTGTAAGAAAGGGAGCCAGGTAAAAACTGTGGAAAATGAGAATGCTGATGAAGAAAAAGAGGTAAAACATGCGGTAAATGAGAATAATGATGAAGAAAAAGATGGACAGGATGTGCAGAATTGGAAGGAGGAAGATAGAAATGAGGGTTATGATGAGAATGAGAGTAGTGATGCAGAGGACAAGGGAAAAGGGGAGTCGGGGAAGGTGACGGGGAAGGGAGGGGGGAATAGAAAGTTTAATACTAGGCGGTTTGCAAAGGGCTGTTCGTTTTATATGAAAACAGGGTCGTGTAAATTCGGATCAGGTTGCAAGTTTAATCACCCTCCCAGAAGAAAGAATCAGGTATATATATATACATCTACATGCGTAAATTAGCTCGTGCATTAGTGAATGAGTGTTTTTTGCTAAAGGATTTGCTTTTTTGAATGTTTTTTCCATCATTTGGTTTTGATTGAATGATGCTGATATGATTTTTCTTTGAATAAATAGGTTAATTTAACAAAATAGAAAGGTCTGTCTAGATATTGTGTCTTTAGTTTAGTTTTTCTTGATATATTGGTTGGACATAATGGTTTCGGTGCAAGTGTTTGCTCGTAATTGAAATTGGCAAAAAATAATGAATGATTTAGATAAGTCATCACTGGTAACCCTTTAATGAAGTATTTAGCATTTATAACCTGAGTTGATTTGAATAATTGGAAGATAGAATCCAGTGCATATATATAGATGCATCCTCACACAAGTGTGCTTGAGTGCATGCACGTGAGTCATTTGATTAATCAGAAGTAGTTGAATTTCTTAGAATGTTGTAAGATGTGGTTGATTTTATCGGTGCGTACATTGTATCATCTTCTTCTTTGTTTTGATTTCTCTTTATTATATAGGTTCAAGTATACTAGATTGGTAAAAATGGCTTCTTTTGCTGCTGAAAATAATGCGCTAAAGGAGTGATTTTAATCACTTTTTACTGGATATGCCCATGATTGCAATAAGTTTTGGCGTTCAATGACTGTGTTTTTGAGATCCAGTTGGTAAAATTATCTGCAATTGGATTGTGTGTTTGTTGACTGTTCCAGAAGTTAAAGATTACATTTATATAAATAAATGTAAATTTTGAAGAATCATGACATCTGTAGACATCTGCATGTTTGTGTATGCATGAATGCATGCCTTTTTTGATCGATCAAATGCTATAATAAATTCATTCATGTCTTGTAGCATCTCATTTTTATATTCCCTAACCATGATCTGTGATGCACATGCTACATTGGTTCAAAATTTTGCATCCTAGTGTCTTCTTACGCAATATATGAACTGAAAATGAATTTGTTTCATTAACATTCATGTTTTGTAACTAAATATAATGAATTTGTCAAAATTCATTGATTGATTAAATATTCTCGCTTATCGTGGAGTTTAGCTTCGTATAGTTATTTATTATGAAATCAAGGAAATATTGAGGGTTAGATTGACTTTATATTTTCTTTTACTCATATATGCATTTTCTTTTGAAGGATGTTAAGGAGAGACCAAAGGGAGGAGAAGGAAACCTAGAAAGGGCTGGACAGTTTGAATGCAAGGTCATTATCAAATCTATTGTTCACTTGTTCTCTTTTGGATTTTGGTCATCAAATATATTTATCTATGAATGTTTGTGATCTTATTTCCTTCTAGTAATTTTGTTGACATGCACTGTAAAGTAGATTTGCCTGCTGTGGTTGCTTCTCAGTATCAACTTGACATAATAATAATATGTAATGGGGAATGATTTGTATCAATGCAGGAAGTCTAACCCTGCAAATAAGAGTATGTCTCGAGATTTGAATATCCATTGTAAAAAAAACAAAAAAGACCTATGGAGTTATTTTGACATTATTGCTCACTCTTCTGAAATATAAGAAAGAAATAAGTGGATGCGTTAAGTATGTTTATTAGTGATAAAAATTAAGTGAGACTAGGTCTAAATATAATAGAAGAAAAACTGGAATAGCTGGAATTAAAGAGAACCAAATAAGAAGAGTAGTAAAAATCAAGTGGGTAGTGAAGAGAATGGATTTCCCCATACACGGGTTGAGCAAAATCATAGGAGTCCAAATTTTCTCACAGTATTTATAAATCTAAAAGATTTCTTCTACAATAAACTAGGACTTCGAATAGGGAACTGTCATTAAATTTTTTTATTTAAGACTAATCCTAGATGACTAAGAATTTCAAATAAAATTTAAATAGCAGCAAAAATCTGAACTGAAGACTCACGGTAAAAAATTAAATCCAGATCTGTAAATTTACCAAAAATATTTTTGACCCATAACTTTGATGAATATAAGAGAACTTAAGGACTAGAACATAATATCGCGTAATTAATAAAATTTTAGCCTGTTTTACTGACATAAAACTTGGCATAAATTTCAGCCTATGCTTCATCATATATGCTCTCCATCCTTCATGTCTCAAAATGAAGTTTGGCATTATCCCTTAGCATATATTCTGCATCATTCTCACGTATACTTGAGGAAACTGGTATTCATTTTGAAGCTTTGACAAAGTAATAAATCTCAACAGCTCATGTTGTCTTTCTTGAGGCTTGAAATATGTGAACTCCTTTGACTTCTTAAAATCCAATGAAGAATTTAGTGAGGGACTCGTTGACAAGCTCAAAACTGTCCGCAAGAACACAATCACTTAGTTGGTGGCCTTTCTGGATATATCTGTCCTCCTCCTACATAAATGTCAGAGATGACTCCTGTCTAATGAGCCCATTATCCATGAAAACATTTACCAATGTTGAAGATATAACTATGAGCAAATAAATTCTTGCCCATACTTACAACTAGAGTTTTTAATGAGGTGGTTCTGATATCGTTACACCATTCGATAAAAAAATGAATAGGGCATGAATGTGAGTGGTGGGTGTTGAAGATATAAATATTAAATAAATGATTTTCTCCCATCTCTAAGAGCTCAAGCATTTAGATGATGAGGTTCAACAACAATTAATCTATCGATATGTCGGGGAGGATAGGTTTTGCCAGTCCTATACTAGTACGCACTTCAAATAGAACTAAAAAATTACTGCAGAAAACAAGGACTAAGTTTCAGCCTAAGATTTTGATCCTATTGTATGTGTAAAATATTAAATTTGAGCTTCTTTACTTATTTTCGGATGTGCCTTTAATATTTTTACTTTGAAGAGTCTTTGGACGATGGGTATAACAAAGGTGCAAATATATTCATTTACAAAGGTCTTCATATCCAATTTTGTTATCATTTTAGATGGAGCTTCAATGCTATGTGTTATTCAAGCTTAACTTCAGTGATAAACCACTGGTAGCTGTTTTATCTGATGCTACTTCTACTTGAACTCTTGGCAGTATTACCTGACATCAGGGGGATGCAAGTATGGAAAGAATTGTAAATACTATCATGGCACAGGCAAAATTTCAATATCATCCCCTATTTTGGAGTTCAACTTTCTAGGTCTGCCAATTCGACCGGTATAGTCTCTTTGTACAGTCCAAAATTTCTCTTTATATATTTCAGTTTAAAATTTCTTTCAACTGCAGTAACAACAAACTAAAGCTTATTCCTAATAAATTTGGAATAAGCTATATGAATTCTTTTTAGCCCATTCAACCAACAATAGTTCTCATAACCAAACAAATTTCTTCATTGATTTATAAATTGTTTAGTCTGCTGTTCAAAAAAAAAAGGGTTTTTCTTTTGTCACAGGGAGAGAAAGAGTGTCCCTACTACATGAGCTATGGATCCTGCAAGTATGGATCAAACTGCAGGCTTCATCATCCTGAACCTACTGCAGAGCCTGGAGGTGATCCCCCATCTGGATACAGCAATGGTGGATCTCTTCCACCACAAGGTTTTTCCTCGTCATCCACCTCTTCTTGGTCTTCCCCAAGGGCATTGAATGAAACTGCACCTTTTGTACCGTCAATGCTTCCTACAAACCAAGTTGTACCTTCTCCAAATCCAGAATGGAATGGATTTCAGGTATTTGTTATCTTTTCATTGTTTCAGATTACCTTATGGATCATTGTTGTAGATATTGTATTTTTTTAATTCTTTGTGTTGCGTGTTTGTGGCACTTGAATATATTTTCTTCTGTAGGCTACATTTCCAAGATTAGTCACAAGTCATTTCTTCTTCTAATTGTTATAGGATCTCAGTAAAATATGTTAAGAGGAGACAGAGGTAGACCAAAATTAACACTACATGTTATGGTTGCGGAGATCTAGTTGAATTGGACCTTCCATTATACGTAGTAACAAACCACAATAGAGAAAAAATATTCATGTATCAGACTGTAGGGAACAAGGCTTAGCTGCTTCTTGTATTCAATTTATAGTTATTATTAAGAGATTGTAATGCTTCTATTTTTGTCCATACGTCCCGATGCTTATTTAACCTACAACTAGATAACATATTCAGTTGACATAATGAAAACAATATTTGGCATAGGAGATTTGGTTGTTAATTGCAATACACTTGTAAGTGATGCTTTCATCTGTCCTTTTCCACTGTTACCCTCCTTGTACCACGTTACCACGCTATTCTACACAAACTTTACTGGCTAATGAGTTAATTTCACTTCAAAGTGTGACTTATCAGATACATGCTTTTTCTGCTCTCATCTGTTCCTTTTCTTTTTGGGTTAATTGAGGCTCCATCCTACCCAACATCAGAGAGTAGCTTACCTACACCTCCAGCATTTTCCACGAACAAGATACCGACGGATATGAACTTCCTAATTCAACATCAAGAGGAGATGGTAATCGAAGACTATCCGGAGCGTCCTGGTGAACCAGAATGCAAATATAAGTCAAATTTCAAATTTCACCAGACGAAGAAACGCATCTCAAAGCCAAAAGCAAACCAGTGTTCTCTAAATGACAAAGGCCTTCCCCTTAGACCTGTAAGTTTATTTGTCTACAAGTTCATAGAGTATGTAATTATAACATTTACGTAGTATGTGAAGAATGTCATTCTTCATAATGCAGGATCAGCCCATCTGTACACACTACTATCGGTTTGGAATTTGCAAGCATGGAACAGGTTGCAAATACGATCATTCTTCTAACTTTACTATCACACAGCCACCTTATGACCGGCCTCCATTCAACTCTCAGAACTCCTGATGGGGCGGGAATCATCGCTATGAAAGGAAATGGAATGGGATCTTTCTCTAGTTTCTAGGTTAAAATGACCAGGAGTCAAACAAACTATCGAAGTTTCTGCTTGATTTTTGTATATATCTGAACCACAGGAGTTAAAAGAGACTGGGCTTCATGTTTTATCTTTGTTCTGTTTTCTTGAAAGCTCAAGCAGAGGATTACAGGATAGAGTGCTCGGTTTCTGTGGCTCATTTCCTTCTTTATTTGATTGTCATTCCTTTGCGCATGTTTGTTAGGTAATGCAGGTTTGTTATTTTTTTAATCCAATTCTTCCATATGTTACAAACATCATTTAATGAAGGTCAAATCATCAATTTTTAGTGAAATTTGACGGTGGCATTCATTAAATCAAATTAAAATGTAATTACCTTATAAAATTAAATTACAATTACCAACTTAAAATCATATTAATGTTAAGTTACCCCGATTAAAATAAAACTGATCTACAAATACCTGATTTACAATAAAGTGAAAATATAAGCTATCTAGAATGAAATTTACCCATCTACTGTGAACCATACTATGCAAATCATGTCTATCCGTGCTAACTGAACATGTATTTTGTCATTCGAGCTTTTATGTAACTTAGTTATATTTTAGATATATTACTGTACAACCCACATAGATCACCTCGAACCAGATCAAGTACAAGACAAAAAATCTAGTATTAGTCACCAGACAATAATATACAATGAATGTGTTGCGTTTTTTATATCGTAAGTGTACGATATAGTAATAAGCAGTATAATGGACCTTTGAGTTCGGATATTGTTTCTACGAAGATTATACTTCAGGACTTAATAAAATTTTTCTAACTCTTATTTGATAAAAGCAAGTAAATAATTATGATGGTTGTAATTATTTTTTCTAACTATTTTGAACTAATTGAAAATATAAAAAAAAAATTGAAAACAACGGTTAATTGGATATTCAAATATGTAATGAAGATTATGGCATAACAATTTCATCTATTGATCACCTTAATTCTTAATTCAAGATTCATAACCAAATGTAGTGTTCAATCGAATTCTTCTATTGTATTCAATTTACTCATCTCGATTTCTCATTGAGTATTTAACTAAATAATTTCATTTTTATATATAAATCAACTTTAATTAAATGAAACATTAGTTCTAAAAATTCATATTATGACTGCAATAATTAGTATATGGTATCTCTACATATTATACTAATTTACCGAATTTTACTATATTGTCTAAATCTCAAACTCACATCTCAATTCGTAAGAGACTCACATAATCATTAAATTAGTGATCGAGTAATTCAATGCATTAAATTCATAGTAAAACCAACACAAAAAAGAAAAAATCACAGAAATCTTGAAAATAATTATGATGGTTGTAATTATTTTTTCTAACTATTTTGAACTAATTGAAAATATAAAAAAAAAATTGAAAACAACGGTTAATTGGATATTCAAATATGTAATGAATATTATGGCATAACAATTTCATCTATTGATCACCTTAATTCTTAATTCAAGATTCATAACCAAATGTAGTGTTCAATCGAATTCTTCTATTGTATTCAATTTACTCATCTCGATTTTTCATTGAGTATTTAACTAAATAATTTCATTTTTATATATAAATCAACTTTAGTTAAATGAAACATTAGTTCTAAAAATTCATATTATGACTGCAATAATTAGTATATGGTATCTCTACATATTATACTAATTTACCGGATTTTACTATATTGTCTAAATCTCAAACTCACATCTCAATTCGTAAGAGACTCACATAATCATTAAATTAGTGATCGAGTAATTCAATGCATTAAACTCATAGTAAAACCAACACATAAAAGAAAAAATCACAGAAATCTTGAATAGAAAAATAGAGGATCACAAGTCGACCACATTGTTTTTCCTAATATGAAGATTAGTTACTCATACTGGTAAAATAAAAATACGCAAAAGTGGAACGATATTACTAAAAATTGACGAAACGTGAAACTGCTCGGGTATGCAGTCCCATTTCTTTTTTTCTCTTTCTTCTCTTTGCGTATTATTTATTTTTCTTTCTTTTTTGCCGGCAGGCCTTTTCTTTTTCTCTCTCCTCTTTCTTCTTTTTTCTCTCTCCTTTTCCTCTTGCTTTGGTCGCCGTCTTCTTTTTCTTTTTTTATGTGCCTTTTTTCCTTTTTCCTATGCGTGTCCCCTCTTCTTGTTTCATCTTTTAATTTTGTCATTTTTCGCTACTTTTGCATTCTTTTATCAAATTCTTCATTAAACATAAAATTTTACCTACAAAATACAATATAACATAAATTAGGTAGAATTTTATCCAAAAAATAATAAAATATCATGATTTAGATCATCGAATAAGTGTAGAAATTATGCTTATCACACCCTAAACTTGAATATTTGTTTGTCCTCAAACAAGCTAAAATCTAACAAAACACAAACAAACAATGCTAATTACCTAATTGGTGGCCAGTCAATCAAATAAAGCAACAAGATTTAGCTAACTAATCTGGCTTTTTATCTCGAGATTGAAATCATAATATCAAATCTATGCACAATTTCAAAATCATATTACGGAAATTAAAATCCACATTTTCAATATAAAATTGACGTGTGTTTGTGAAGAACTAATGCATAGCATTATGAATTTATAAATTTTTTCAATTCCCGATTCTCAATGGTCTAATATGTTCTTTCATCACTTGTAAGATTCACACCCCCAAACTTTTTGTTTTCCCTCTTTTCGAGTGTGTGAATCAATGTTGAATTTTCTACTATTTTCACCTCTCTAGTTTAGGTAAATCTCATCAATTGCAGTTCAACATGACAATAAATAATGCTTCTCCATTAAATTTGATTGCTTCAATCTCTAGGACTTAACTATGCTAACAATCTTTTATCAAAAGTCAAAATTTTTTTAAATAAGTGTTTGTGACTTAATCAAGACATTTAGTGCGTCTTCTATGTCGTGTACCTGACTTTTCTGAATTTTTTTATGAATAATTTTTTTATTTGAAGCATTCACTCCCTTAAACTATTCAAATGATCCATGTAACAAGCTTTCGGTCAATGACTCCCAAGTCAGATGACCATATGACACCAGGTTTTAAAAACTCTTGCAAGCTTAATTGCTCGAATCATAAATGTTATGAATAGAAATTTTCTAATAAGATATTTTTATTGCATTGACTCGTGAAATGTCCCTCATTTAACACCCAAACGACCTCTAACTTGAAATTTTCACCCAATTGCATCATATTAACTTTAGACAATCCACACAAGATTTTTAATTTCACACATGGAATCCCTATTTATCTCAATATCTTCCTACATCAGTGAAATCCCCCTAAACTATTCTAAATTTGATCCAAGAATATAAAATTTATTCATTTTAGGTTTGACATCTATGGTCTACTATTTCAATATATCAAATTATGAAATCAACTCATTCCTACACAATGTTTAACTTAATTCACGTGTTCAATACATATCAAATTTCATATGAAAAAATAAAAATTAATCTAATCATACAACTTATTCAACATTTATAGATCAATTCATAATTCAATATATTCATCATTGCCAATCAGACCAACTAACTCACAGAAGCTCACAAAAAGAAAAAGATTTTTTAATTTTTTTTTAAGTAATAAAAGCACACAAAATTATATAACAAAAATGAAAACTCATGTTTTGCACCCTCAAACTTAAACTAGACATTGTTATCAACGTCTTTAATCTGAAATCCGCATATAAAGGGAAGAGGTAGAAAGTGAAGAAAAGATTCCTTTGATATAACTTGTAATTCAATAGCTAGTTTTCTTATTCATCTCGTTGGCTCCTTGGTCAATATTGGTTTAAATGTCATGAGACGTCATGTTCCTCAAAAACCAAATAAAGTACTAAGATCAAATAATTGGAACATGCGTTACTTAGCTTTAACATCTAATAATCCAACTAATATATCAAATACCTAAGGGGAAACGGGGTATGAATGATGAGTCACAATTAAACTTAAAATAAATTAAACTATCTTAAAACTCAAAAATAGAATAAATAAAAAGGAAAAAAAGCTTGGGTTACCTCCCAAGAAGCGCTTCTTTAACGTTATTTGCTTGACTTTGTGCTCGATTATTGTGGGACAGCTTGTTTAAGACTTTCTTTAGTGGTGGGAAAATTATCTACGTAGTGTTTGATCGTTGTCCATTAACGTTGAAATTTCCTTTCATTGGGTGATGTAATCAACTGTACCGTAGGGAAATACTTGGAATACCGTGAAAGGTCCAGACCATCTTAATTTTAGTTTTCCTGGGAACAACTTAAGTCTGAAGTTGTACAAGAACACTTGATCCCCCACTCTGAAAATTTGTTGTTGAATAATCTTGTCATGCCACTGTTTCATCCTTTCTTTGTAGATTGATGCATTTTGATAAGCTTATTTTCTGAATTCTTCCAATTCGTGAAGTTCTAATATTCTTGTTTCTCCGGCTTTTTCTAAGTCCATGTTCAACTGCTTCAATGTCCAGTATGCTTTGTGCTCAAACTCAACTAGTAGGTGGCGAGATTTTTCGAAAACTTTTCAGTGTGTCGACATTCCAATCGGCGTCTTGTAAGCGATACGATAGGCTTACAAATCATCATCCAATTTTTTGGACCAATCTTTTCGAGATACATTCACCGTGAGTTCCAGAATTCTCTTCAACTATCTGTTAAAATTTTCAACATGTCCACTTGTCTGGAGTGAGAGGGTGTGGCTATTCGATGTTGTACCCCATATTTAGCCAGAATCGTCTGGAATAACCTATTGCGGAAGTGAGCATGCAACTTATTCACCATTCATGGATCAATTCATGATTCAATATATTCGTCATGGTCAATCAGAACAACTAACTCACACAAGCACACAAAAAGAATATATATATAATTTTTTTTTACTAAAGCAATAACATGACACAAAAACACAAAATATTGAAAACTC